CTCTTTCCACAACCAAATGCTTGCTTTCAAATAGTAATGCATATCTACTTTAGTTTCATAGAAATATTTCAACTATGTTACTCAGTTAATATTTGCTCCATGTCAATACTTTACACATGACCAAAACCAAAATATTGTGTGATAGAACAGATACTAAGAGAATTTTAAGACAGATGGGTTGTCCTAAGGAGTAATGATAAAAACAAAGCCTAAACAATGAATGTGCTTAAAACTACCTAATACCTTTTCAAGATAAATGAAAAACTTGAGTAGGAATGATAAACTAGTAATAGCTGCTTAGAAGAAAATTGGTGGCAAATATAGTTGGCTGTCCTCATTTCCCAGTTAAACACAAAAGCAGCAGTTAAAATCTGATGCGTAGCAATAAACTCTCTTCTAATGCACACATTTTCATTTAAACTTAACTTTACAAGGTAATAAAAAATTGCACATTTATACTGTGAAAATTACTTATAGTAATCATATCTAACATTTATTGTAACATGAGAAGGACCACCCTGTTTTACATGTACTTTTCATTTTCTCCTCAGAACAACCCTATCAGGTAAGAAATATTATTCTCATTTTATAAATGAGGTTAACTAGGATACAGAATGCTTAAGTAACTTAACTTGCCCAAGGTCACACAGGAAATAAACGGTGGATACAAAAATTTCACCAACGAATCTAGCTCCAGATCATTACACCAAACTGCCAACAAGTAATGTAGTGACTGTACTTTGCAAATGATAAAATCTGCATATATAAGGTGCACTGATTAAGGGAACATGCTTTGTGGTCAGACTTAGTGTCAAGTCTCAATTCTATAATTTACTAGCTATGTGAACTGGAGTAAACCACTGAACTTCCCTAAGCTTCAATTTTTCTATTCTGTAAAGTGGGCATGATGAAGGAACAGTTCTTACTCCATAGGGCTGTTGGTGGATTAGGGGCATCATGCATATAAAGGATTAGCAAAGCGCTTGGTATATAGTAAGCACTCTATACAAGTTAATTACTATCAACTAATACTAAGAATTCTCTTTATTATCATAAACTCTCATTTTAGTACTAGTGGCACTTTCTAAAATAAATTAAATCTATCAATATTGAGATAATAAAAGTTTAGGAAAGTAAGACCCAAAGCCTCAAAGTATATGACAGCACAATTCAGATGGAAAAGGCTACTACTTACTTTAACATCATTAGCAAACATTTATTTAGTGTCTGGATATACATGAAAACGTGCTAGGCACTAAACAGAATTATCAAGACATAGTCCCTGACCTCAAAAATACACAATCAAGCAAGTTAATTCTGCTGAGTGGGCACAACAGCACAACCTCCAACTCTGGGCACTTTCTGAACCAGATGCACCTACGGTGCTCATTAAGTTCCCCTCTGTTTGTGGTATGACAGTGGTGAACATATGTAGAGAAAGAAACTTCAAAATAAATGATAAAACCTGACAAGTGTAGAATGATAAAGATTCAGGAATAAATGAGCTGTTTTTCCACCCTCTTACCTTCTCAACAAAATGTTTTAGCTATCTTGGTACTAATGATCTGTTAATTAACCAGAAGAGAAAAAAGGAAAGAGCTGGAAGCTCAGAACTGAGGTCAAAGAAAAAGGGTACAGAAACAAATTACAAGAGAGAGAAGGAAGGAATGTGGAAAGTTAGAAAAGCCAAAATAACTGTAGGTGACTTTAAGTGAAACACATTTTATTCTGCCGTCTAACATGTGCTTTATGCCTTAGAAACCAAACAACTAACAGCCATACTTAAGATTGCTGATCCTTACTCCTTTTCAATCTTGAGGTTTCCGCTAGCTCTTGAAGTCAAAGAAGAGAAAAAGAATAGCATAGAGTACAGAAGGATTCTGTCTACCACCACAGCCAACATCATGCTGCCCGTATCTTAGAGCTCGGCCACTGATCAACTACGAGACTGTGTCTGAATCATAATCCCGATAATCTAAGGATTCCATTAGAAAAGTAAATTCTAAAACTCCTAACTAAGGAACTAGAATATTTCCAAGGGCCACTACAGGAAACCTGGAGACCTAATTTCTGAAGTTTTAGAAGCATTTCAAATCTCATTTTCAGTGGTCATGCTATTCAAAGAGATCTTTTACAACTTCACAGCAGGAAATGATATTCACTTGTGCTTCTATCTCTATACCTACTTGCCATAATACCTATTGGGAAACTCCTCTTTCTATACCTGCAGCCTCAAACTGTAGCAAAACCACAAAACTCCCCACTACTGCATCCACAGGCTCTCTAAAGCAAACTGAGCAGAACAGCCTACTGACCATAAGGCAATGTAACAAATACATATTCCTAAAAAATGTGAAGTTACTTTTCAACAATACAAGCAATCTGTGTCAACCGAAAATTTGGCTCATATATATATATATATATATATATATATATATATATATATAAAAAACTAGGCTAAAAATTAAGGATGGATAATTTATATATTGTTCAAGAATGTATACATTCAAGGTTTTCTTCTTGAAGTAGGGAGTAAAGAGGGGAAAGAGACATGAACCCCCAAAATGGTTATTGTGCATTCAAGGTATATCTGCATGGTATAATCAACACCTGCTTAGGGAATTCCCTGGCAGTCCAGTGGCCAGAACTCCGTACTCTCACTGCCGAAGGCCAGGGTTCGATCCCTGATCGGGGAACTAAAATCCCACAAGCTGGGCAGCGTGGCCAAAAAAAAAACAAAACAAAACCAAAACACCTGCTTAGTATCAGCCATACTTCATCCAGCTTTGCTTGCACTTGTTATACAAACTTATGAAGTTGAAGCGCAAGCCGTACCTTTTACTGTTTCTCCTCTTCCACCAAATTTATGAATAAAAGGTATCTTCAGGAAGGAAGATGATTTGAATTCTATAGAAGAACTCTCAATTGATCAAACTGCAGCAAAAGTGGATGTAATTTGTAGCCAGAAATAGGTCTTAATATAAAATAAGGAGTTTCCGATGGTTCTTTACCTGCTTCACTACTCCCCCCAACGACAGCAAAAAGTACTATAAATACTTGCTTATACAGCCTGTGTGTAGAAAAGCTTCTGGCACAAATTTCTTAGGCCTCTTCTCAAGCCCGATCCTCTGAGATGACAAACCTCAAGAGTCAAAATAAAACCAAAAAGGATGAAGACCAGAAAGGAATAGGAAGAACAAAGAATTTCTAATCACTTCTTACTAGTTCATTCTACTTAACTGGTCCTAGTTTAGTCTCTATGTTTCCCATGATCCATTAATTTGGCTATTACGATAAAATATTCTTAATCTCTCTAGGCCCTTCTAATTTAGACAAGCCCTGACATAATGCTATTTTTTTCTCTATGACCCAGATGAAATATTTTTATAGTCCTTGGAACCCTTGATGCCCCCTCCTAAATTCCTGCTCTGTGGCTCTAAGTTACGACAGTGGAGACAAACTGTACGTGAAAGGTCCTGTGGAAACAGGTGAGTAAAGTAAGGGAACTGCAGCAATTGGGCTCTCCTCCACCAACATGAGGATATTTCTCTTTCTTCCCTACAGTATTTAACAAGTAAAGCAGAAAGGAAAAGGCCGGCATACACAAGAGAGGCTGCAGCAAAGAGCTACCCCAAGCTTTTTAGGAATCCTCAGATCCATTTGTTATAGGTATCTAAGTCTGGAAAATATCTTTGGAATATGTCTTGTGTGTAGGAATGCATAAAAGATAACACCTTGCAAAAGTCAAACATACAGGTTTAATAATGTGCAACTAATGAAGATGGTTTATAAATGAAATAACACCTACACATTTAGTTCCCTAAATATATTACACTATTAATCATTAAAGTTAGACCTATAAGTACAAGTTTTCCATATGTGGAAAAGCAAATCTGTTTTTAAATTAAAGAGAAATTATTACTCTAATTCTTAAAAATAAAACTATCAGGATAAATTTCAAGTGTAGCTGCTCATAGTCACTATTCAAATTTAAATTTGATAATAAAACATTTAAGTTTCAACCAATGCACCTTCGTTGAAGCACATTTAGCTGAAATAACTTCGAGTCTGGTTTATTTCCATCACATATAGTACATTTTTCCAACAAGAGCATGTACATTCAATATAGAACATTTCCAGCAACAGTTACAGTCTTTCTAGTTTCCTTTCACAGTATATTTTAGTGCAAAGCACTGGGAAGGGTAAATGTTTTTCTAGCTATGAAAGCATTTTATTATGACCTTGTGGATCTTCAACATTTTAAAATTTTATACAAAAAGTATATAGATGTGGACAGGGTCCCTCCTAAGTACAGGGATGAACCTATATAAAAACATGGTATATTCTCTGCTGTACCTTTTAAAATTATAATTTGACAAAAATTACTAAAAAATAAAATATTCCCTAAAAAGTACAAAATATTGATTACACAAAAACCTGCCCAGTATTTCATTAAAGATAGATGTACTTCTGTTTTCCCTAAAATCTTGGTTACAAAAATGGACAAAAATTCATTATTTTCTAAATTTTACAGTAGGGATCAAATATTATCTAAAGTGGTCATTTAAGATTTTACTTGGGAGAGAAAAAGAATCAGGGTTTATACCCCAATCTTCCTTTTTTAGCAATATGTAAAGAAATAAACTAGTATTATAAGAAGTGGTTGTGCAGGGATTGTCTGCATCCACAAAATAGCAGTAAGCTCTTTATTACCTTCATATTAACATTAGTAAATGTGGGGTCTTTTAAAGAAAACTGAAAAATTAAGTTGCATCTATCATTAAAGTGCTTTGTATGAAACTTAAAGAAAAATACGGGAATGTTTAATTTTCATAAAAACCTCAGATGTTTACAAATGAAGAATGTGATGATCCATGGATGAAAATGAACCGGAAGTTTCCTATAGTATATATTTTAGAATGAAATTTTCAAACATTTAAGTGCTATAGAACAAGTTAGAAATAAATGGATGTAAAAATAATTACAAATATTTAGTAGGCTAAATATTTATAATGTGTTGAGATTTGTCTTTTGGTCCTAACATACGCTCTCTAGGAAATTATATATCTGTACAATCCAGATAAAAATTCTGCCAAATAAAGTGGAACAAAAGTAAAATCGCTAACTTATAAAGTCTTTGATAATTAAAAATCACCAGTGGTGATATTTTCTTCAGGTTGTTGATCACTTAATCAACAAACTGCTGGAAAACAAAATTTGCAACATCTTTGTATAAACTGTAGACCAAATGCACAGGGGTGGTTAGCTGATGGACTGTGATGACAATACAAAATGTCACAGCTACTTGAAAGTGCTGGAAGAGGCAGTGCCTTAGAAACAAGTGGTTAGATGGTTATTATTTTAGTCAGAAAACAGCAGTTACAGTCATATATTTATCAAATTTTTTTCTTTTTTTTTCCTCATAGTACCATTTGAAGATGTTTAGTGGTTCTAACACCAATTTAAAGTCTTTCCACAAAAATGAACTCCAAACCTTTTCGTACATCACTTGAAGTTATCTGAGGAGAAATGGGAATAAATGAACACTTTTGAGTTTACCAATAAAACCTTATTTTCAAAATAATACAATAGTAAATGACTTCTAAAGGATGGTTTCATCTCAAGTTTTCCACACAAATAAAAAAATGTGTGATAATCAAACCACAACATTTAACCTACTGAGCACTCAAACTAAGTATACTGCTTTAGAACCTGAATCCAAAACTAATTTAATACTAATTAAATATATTAAATGCATTAATACAAAGGACACAGGTACTGAAGGTAAACTTTAAAAATATAGAGAGACTTGCAAAAACAAGTACAGGGAGTCTACTCCTTATTTCATATTGCATTTTAAAAATCTACATTTGTTCCAAAACCCTCTAAAAAACTAATATTTTTTTCTTTCTTCCCAACAGGAATTTTATTTTTCTTGCAACACACAACCACAGGAGAAAAAAAAAAAAAAAAAAAAAACCCTCCTTAATAATATTACCTATGTTGAAATGATCACCAAAACTTTATTTAAACAAAAAGGTAAAAATAAGAGGATCAGGGACCTAAACAATCACTTTTTCCAAATATCAAAACTAAAAAACAGGAACTAACACATACTCCCAAGGAGAAGGAAAAATAAACCCAAACTTTTGTTTATCGTTTCCCCCTTTGCCTGGAAGCACTATGTTAAACGTAAATAATAAATGCTAATTGTTCTAAATTCAATTTGGGGATTGTTTTTTCTGAGTGCAGCACTTTATTTAGCCGTCACAGATTAATTTAACAATAATTACAGTGCCTCAAAAGACTTTTTTCCTGTAATTATCGCCTTCACAAATTCATTCTAATATACTTAACTTCCTACAACGTATTAATTAGTAGACTAAGTCACTGAATCAAATTAAACCTGTGCAAAGTTAGTTAAACAGAAGACTTCTATTGTAAACATAAGCCAATATAAATGTATATATTTTACAACATTGAGAGGAAATCACTGACCCTGTGCCATCTACCTATAACTATATTGCATTGTCCTGTGGAAGATAAGTTCTGAAGTTAACTTTTGTTCCCAAGCCACTGGAATAAAGGTCACTGAAGAGGTAAATGCGATATGCACATTACTCTTGCAGTTCCCACTGCCGTAAGATATATGGAAGCAAATGTGTTAAAATGGAACCAGCTATAAATTACGGTCAAATGATTTTTTTAGTTCGATGGGGGGAAAAAAGCAAAACTCTGTAACTGTTCCTCACCAGACAAGAGCCTTAGATCTTGTACTTCGGCCTTTGGTTTTGTTTCCTTCAGGTGAATTGGAAGCATTTGCCTTATGAGTTTTCTTATGATGTTCAAGATAAGTCTTTTTGGCAAATGCCTTTCCACATTTATTGCATCTGTGAAGAGAAAAGTTTTTTGTGACTTTTACTTCAATACCAACATCAGCTACTTCATACTTTTTACTAGGAGAGTTAGAAGTGCCATCGTGTTTTGAATCACTATGTTTTGCTTCGTCTCTTGAAGGGCCTCTTTTTGCCACTTTATTTAGAACAAAATCAATGGGCTTTTTTATAGCTCTGATCTCTAAACTGGCTGTTATTTTCCCAAGATAACGGGACGACTTTTTATGAACCACAGTTATATGTCGTATCACATCGCGCTTCCGACGAGTTTCATAAGTGCAAAGAGGACACTTGTAGAATTTAACATAAATGTTATTCCCATCTGTGTGCAATTCAATGTGTTTAGTCAAGTTCTGTTTGGAAGTAAACTGACGTTTACAAAGTTTACAGTAAAGTTGCTTAAAGTCAAAGCCAGCTGAAAGTTTTGGCTTCCTGGTTTTTTGCTGGCCACCTGCAGCAGACGGACTAGTTGATTTAGGGCTTTCAGAGTCTTGTTTAACTTTATTTTTCTGTGCTGCCGGTGCGTTCTTTTTTTCATTTGAATGATTTGTTCCCTTTAATTCATTCTGTGGAGAATGGATAATGGAAGGGGGTGAAGATTCTACAGAATCTGCTGGTTCAACTTTAACTTTTATTTCTGAACTGTTGGCAGTATTATTGGGGCCTTTCTCTCTTTTAGAGTTTGTTCCAGAAAGAGTTATCTTGTGAACAATTTGCATATGTCTTTTAAGCATTATTTGTGAACTATATTTCCTCTTGCAAAGGAGGCATTTGCATGCAGTTAAATTGTATTCAGCCTTTGAAGACGACTTTTGTTTTCGAGCCTTGAAAGATTTTTTAGGAGAAACAGAATCCAGGAACAAAGGTTGCCCAGGCTTTGTTGCTATATCAGGAGTAATTGAATCCCTCCTTAGTCCTCTATGAACTTCATCAAAATGCCTCCTTACATTCGCTTTTGTAGCAAATGATTTACAACATACTGGACAGCTCCTACTTAATGGAACTAGAACATTCTTACTGCGTCCTTTAGAGGATTGGTTTGGATTCTTTCGTGTTTCAATGTACTTTTTTAGTTCTTCCATTTTTTTCTTGTGTACTTTTCGAATGTGACGACGAACACCTCGTCTGGAATTGAATTCTTTTCTACAAAGACAGCATATCAACTGGTGACCAAAATCAGAATTGTCAGAAGTTTCCAAGTCAGCCTGTGATTCCTGCAGTTGTTCATCAGATGTAGGTGCAACTTCATCTGCAACAATTTCAACAGGAGGGGGCTCTACAGTTTCCACCTCTGTGTCTGTAACTGGAACTGTCTTAGACTGTTCAGTGCTAGTTTCCTGTATTTGAACTTCAGGCTGTTCAGGAGTACTGCTTGACTCTGTGACTTCAGTAGGATTATCAGTCCTTGAAATATATTGAAAAACTGCATTCTGATTAGTTTCTATGGGTTCTAGCTTAATAATGTATTCTCGCTTGTCCACACTTGGATATATGGCTTCTAGGAGATCATTTATGGCTTGGCTTTGTTTATCATTTACATCAGGAAGGTCTGTTAAGGAAAAAACAACATTTTAATCTGAAATAATTAGCCTGCTCTAGCCCTCTAATATTTTTAAATGTATTATGAACCTCTATTTTAAAATTTATTATATTACTGGTTTGCATTTATTTTTACAAGAGCATTATCTACTTCTCAGTATTTTTTGAGTATAAAAACAAGTATTAATTAAATTAAAATTTGCTTTAATTTACAATCTCATCATGGTACACAAATGTTAAGGAATAGATGCAATCTGAAGAGTTACTTCTAATAAGGGCCCTTAATATAAAATATTTAAGCACATGGGTACAATAAACAATAAAAATAATATTTCATATTTTTAGGCTAGCAAAGGCAAATCAAAGTTCTCATAACCCAAGATGGATAAAACACCATGAATGTTACTACATATAAAAATAATTCTTTTTTTAGAAAATATAACAGCATTCCTATTAACTTAATCCATAATAAATAATCTCATCTAATTGTATAGGGACATTTGAACATCTTATGGAAAATGAAGAAGATTTATAGGAAAATATATAAACATGAATGACAGGATGTATAGAAGTGTTTGCTAAATTCAGTCCTATTACATGACTTCTTAACATGGCAACCTATTAAAACAAATGATTAAAAACTACAGATTAACTCCAAAAACAGAGCTAGTTTTATTTATCTGTGCAATATTACACCATCTGTAGGCAACCTAATATTCCTATTGTAACAGAGTTGTCTAACACTGGTTATGTTTCTACATAAAATGTTAAAATCTAGCTACAAGTATAGCATCAAATCTAGTATCTAATTATAAATCAAGAAATGACTCATCATAGCTCTTCTAGTCTACTAACCTTTCTTTTTAAAATGGATAAAGTGGTATCTATAAGAATAATTATACTTTCACAGAAGTATTTCTAGAATAAGTATTGCAGAAGAGTGCACAATAATACAGCAAATCCATTTATCTATTTCCCTCTAAAATTCAACTAAACTTTATTTCACACCAAAAAGTAACAAAGAATGACTACCAGAAAATTAAATTCCTACTAGTTCTTTAATTAAAATGTTAGATTTGAAACTAATCTCTATAGACTACCTTTTCATTTATATTTCAAGGATAAAAAGAAGTATAATAAGATTTAACAGTGGTAGGGGAAGGTTTC